AAGTTGTCCTTTTTTATCTACTTTGTGCTGATTGGGGCAGTTCCTATAAACAAGTTAATGGAAAATTTCCAGAGTCTTTTTTCTTTCCAACAACTCAGTAGATTTCTTAGAATATATTTGTTTGAAGTAGTTACAACATGCTTGGAAAATATCACATTTGCAATGTTTACTGTATTTTTTTATTCAGGTTAGTACTCATTCTAATGAACTAATTCACATATGCCAAAATCCCCTGGAAATAATATGGAGATTATAAAAGGTTCTAAAAGATTGGTAATTGTGAGCACTGACAAGTCAATGAGTATTTGAAGAAGTAAATGAACTGACTCTACATATAGTCAGGTGTCCATATTCCCAGGGTGTGTGTGTATCAACGCTTCCCATGGAAATGTGAAATTCCATGAATATCTGTACTCTCGCTTAAATAGCCCCAGATGTTTTTTATGTATGCCTAAACACTTACACAGATGCCTGAAGTCAAATCAGGGTAGCCTAACATAGACACACACAAAACACGAAGGTCACAAGCCGTCCTACTCAGATGACACTCACTACAAGACTAAAGACATGTGCCTCCTTATCACTCACTGAATGCAGGGAGCAGTAGCAATTTTTTTAGTATAATAAACACGAATCCATATCCCATAATATGGAGACCCAACTGCACTATCACCATGTTCAGTCTTTAGTTTTTAATGCTTTTTGCAATAACATAATTTCTTACCATCTCATTTATAAACACAATCATGACAAGATAAGAATGATATTAAACAGATAAAAGCCTAATGCAGAGATTAATATAACCATGCCAAGATGAAGCTTAGGAGCATCTTTTATCAGAACTACTTAATCAGAAATAGAAAAGGAAAGAGAGAACAGGAAGAGTCCGTATCTCAGCAGTTAATGCATAATTCCCTTGCATCTTCACTGAAATTATAAAGTAATCACACTACAGTAGCAGGAGATGGGAAAGAATTTTGTCCATAACCATGAAGACCCACCGCTAGTCAAGTCCCACCCCCACCCTTGATATTTTGGACTTAAGCTCCCATTAGCTAACATGGTTGATGGCAAAGAACTGCAGAAGCTACAGCCCAAGAAGGCACCACATTTCTTACTTAATAGACATTACTAGGCTAGACGGACAATCTGCCCTAGTTAAATCAACAAATTTTTACTGAAAGGGGAAGTTAAAATTCATAGAGCAGAGGGTATTTTACAGCCTCCCAGTACAGCTGTAGTTAATATCAACTAGAGCAGAACAGGAACCAGAGCGTTGTTGCTGTTCTTTCGTTATACACGTGGACTTCTTAAAGGTATCTGGCTGCGTCTGAGGGAAATCAGTTGCTACATAAAGCATGCACTTGGTCTGATCTGGTGGAGTCTTCCTATGTTCTTATAAGTGTGTACTTGTGAGGATAAAGAAAAGAGATCCAGTCACAAAACTATGTAGCAGTTACGAGGATTAAGGCCTAGCAAGATAGTACCAGGGATAATCTGACAATGAATGAAAATGCATATTATCCATCCTGTTAAATTTACTATAAACTTTAATATCAAATAGGTTGACTTACCTTTGCTTATTTGACTTGAATTCCCACTTTTTCCAGGCATCTATATTAAGAAACCAGAAACCACACTGACAATGTAATCAAATAGGGAAAAAAAAATCACTCTTAAGATAATTAAAACTGGTTAAAAATATTCACAAGCTTAAACAAAAATCTTAGTGCAGCAGCAGCAGCAGCATCTATATTGCAGGTTTCAAGTATTTAATGAGCTTCACACCTACCAACTCAGTAATTCTTATAAAAGCCCTGCAAAGTTAGGCTGATCTTATTACTTCCATACAGGAGCTTGCCTAAGGCCGCCAAATGCATTGGTAGCTAAGATTTTAATTCCCCGTTCACATTCTTAGCTACCCCACTGCACTATCCCCAGCTTAAGTGAGTTTATTAAAGGGGGACTTAGCAGTACATTATTTTACACCACTTTATTCGAAATTGTAATATAGAAAATTGGCTACTATGATCAAATTTACCCTTTTAAATTACCATTTGCTACAATCAATTGGAACTTACAGAGATAACTAAAGGGAATTACTCTTACAAGTAATCCCCTATAGCCAAATATTTATGAGAACATATATCCCAGGAAAGCTCAAATCCAAATTATTCTACAATCTAAATACAGCTGAAAAGATCAAAACAAAATCTAATAATTCCGTGCTATGTACACAGATGACAGAACTCGACACTGTGCTTTGGAGCAAAAAGTTCACCACACCATCACCCAGGAAACCAAGTTCTAAAAATATCCTGACTACTGTTCAGCAGTGACTAAGCAACTGACATAACAGATACTGGCTGAAATTGCCTATAGATTGTGTGACAATCTCACTATTCAAGAGGAACCATTCCTAATCTATGTTTATAGAACTGCAGCATCATAACAGGCACAATGGAATTATTTGTCTAACGTATTTTTTAACCAACCTGTGAAGTATAGCTTCTTTAACTTATTATTCCAAATCGTTGCTCATTATGACCTAACTTCAAAAGGTAGTGCTTACTGTAGGAGACTATAGCCCTGTAATCACTTTGCTTTTCCTTTCCTTTTTCTTCCTTCCATCAGGAATGAGCAGTCTACAACCCTCAAGGTCCCTTTTATGGCATTCAGAAAAGCCTTTGGCCATAACTATGGATCATTCCCATTTTGAGGTACGAAGAAGCTTCCTAACATTTTGAGAGTAGGATATGGAGGAAGATGACACTGTAAGTCCTAAAACAACCCTCAAATTTCCCCCAAATTCTATTATATTATGTATATGCATTAAGTGTGACCCTTGGCCACTAAAAGATTACCCACACTAGCTTTATAGAGTCTGTACCCCCACCTTCCTCAGTAATGGAGTGCATACAGAAGTACAAAAAATATATTCCATGTAAACTTACATAGTATTTTTTCATGGAGCCTCTTTCAAAAGTGTAAATATTAAAAATGTTCAAGCAGAGAGAAATATTTGCATTCCTAGATATTAGTTTATGCAAGCTGTTTGCATTTCCGGATATTACATTTTGCTAGCTGCTTTGGGAAGAACTTATTTTGAAAGGTGTACAGGTGGTCCTCACTTAACAACTACTCATTCAGCAACTGTCTGAACTTACAATAACACAACACTGAACAAATGGTACTTACGACCGGTCCTCAAAGTTCCAGCCATGGTCACGTAATTGTGATCTGGGCACTTGGTGACTGGGTCATAATTATGACACTGCAGCATCCCATGGTCACGTGATTGCCATTTGCACCCTTCCCTGCTGTCTTCCAACAAGCAAAGTCAATGGGGAAGCTGGCAGGAGGTTGCAAATGATGTGATATTGCACTTAATGACAGCATGGGATTCGCTTAATGACAGCAACTGGAATTGCTGTCGCTAAGTGGTGCAATCATGCACTGGAAATTCTGGTCCCAACTGCTACCATTAACTGAGGACTACCAGTATTTTACATGCAATTAATTTTAACCATTAATTGAATTAATATGAATATGTTTGTCCTGAGGTAGGTAGGTACTGTATATAGTTGTGGGTTCTACAGGGTAAGAACACACACACAGACATACATAGTAGATCAGGACTGTGTAGACCTTCAGAGTGTGGTTTGGCTTGGATGAAGCTTTGAATGAGGCATCACCTCAAAGCTGCTTCCTGAAGCAATGTGGTCCCTTGCTTCTGCCTTGCCTAGCCTTGCTCCACAGCCTTTCTCAGCCTTCTATTGCAGAGGTCACATTGGAAGAAGCCCTCTTCAGTGAGTGCCGTGAAACTGCTAAGGAGCGTTTTCCCCGAGTGTTGGTCAAAGGAGAGCCACCCAGGCAAGCCAGGGATCAGCCAGCCTGGGCGTCTGGCATGCCTTGCAGACTATCCCTTTAGAAGCCATCCTCTCTTTAACCTCCATAGGCCTGCTTCTGTATTCCTAATGTGATAGCTGGATTGCATTATTGTGGGTCTAAATATATTATCCTAGTTCCTGGACTTCCACTTCTGCTATTCTTTTAAGCTGCCTTTTTCCAAAGTCTGATTTCTCAACATATCTATCTCATGCATAAATATTCTGGACCCTTTCTGAATTTGTGCCTCTTGTCTCTCTGCTGTTTTTTGTGGACAAGAGGAGTTTCATTTTTCAGTGCTCTGCAGTATGTAATACAGTACTTGGCATCATAGTCACAAGAAACTGGTGAGACTTCTATTCTCAACATTATTATACTTCTTTAAGAATGTCAAGTAAACAGCCTGGGATGGTAGTATCCCTCAGAGCTTGCTCTGATTCTAGAGTCCCCAATATAAATTTTTTTTTTTAGTTGTCTCTGGTGGCTAATACGGTCTGTTACAAATTTTGGCTGATCAAATGATACAATTTTTTCCTTAAGTCAAGGCAATGCATTGGTTAATAGCTCACTTAGATGTCTATAATGTGCTTTATTTAGAATTACCTTCCAATTCAGAACACATTTAGGATGCTTTTGCTTCATTATTGGCTGGAGTGTAGAACCAAGTTCATTAACACTGCTTATTAACTTCCAAGTCCACTTCAAGTCCCTGAACCATCTGGGAGAAGCTTTTCTATAATGAATTAGTCTTACTAATGTCACTGGGAAAAGCCTTGCTCTGTATCATTTTATGCACTTTTATGACACCTTCTGTAGAATTCCCTTAGAGATTAGATTTTTATTGAGCTCTTACTGAGAAGTTACATATTTTAGACCTTAAAAAATTGTGCAAGAATCTATTGTGCACATCAAATTGTTTACTATCGCTCTTTTTGGCAGCTTGTTTTTATTAGTTTTGAAAGGCGGTTTGTGTAACTGGTGACTTTTTTTTGCAAAAAGTAAGTTTGTAAAATAATTAAACTATGACAGCCAATGACAGAAATCATTCAGTACCTCGTGTAATAAATAGATTAGGGTAACTTAAGAGGGACTGAAAATAAAAGTAATATGGACAGTGATTAAGCAGTCAGTGTTGTTTAGAGTATTTTGTGCAGGGGGCATGCAGAATTGAATATTTAACATATTTAAAACTGTTTTTAATGTACAATGTATCTTCCGTAAAACATATAGTACCGTGCAAAAGTTTTCGGCAGGTGTGAAAAAATGCTGTAAAGTAAGAATGCTTTCAAATATATATAATGTAATTGTTTACATTTATCAATTTACAAAATGCAATGTGAGCAAACAGAAAAAAAACCCAAATCAAATCAATATTTGGTGTGACCACCCTTTGCCTTCAAAACAGCATCAATTCTTCTAGGCACACTTGCACAGAGTTTTTGAAGGAACTTGGCAGGTAGGTTGTTCCAAACATCTAGGAGAACTAACCACAGATCTCCTGTGGATGTAGGCTGCCTCAGATCCTTCTCTCTTCATGTAATCCCAGACAGACGTGATGATGTTG